TGAGGATTCCTTGGCTGGTGTGGCTCAGCTGGTTGGAGCGTTGTCTGGTAAACCTGAAAGGTTGCAGGTTCGATTCTCGGTCAGGTCACGTGCTTGTATTGTGAGGTTGTTCCTGGTCCAGCCTGGGCACATAGGAGAGAGAGGCAACCGATCCTGTCAATGTTTCTCTCCCTCTCCCTCCCTTTCCCTGTCTCTAAGATCAATGAGCTGTTTATATGCGGGAATACCTCGAAGCCTTGGTTGAGAATATTCCTCCAAAGGAAGCTTGCATTTGCTTTTGTGAGGCACCTCCCAGTTTCACCCACCCATCTGTTTATGTTTATATCCTGGCCTGGCGCATTCCGACCCATACAAGTGGTGCGCCTTTGAACCTCAGATGCAGGGAAGGCAGCTCTGTGGTTGTGATGTCTTAGAAGACACTCTGTCCCTCCACTCAGATCTGAGACTGAGACAAACGAATGTCTTTCTTGACTCCCTTTCCCAATAAACAGGTCCCTTTCACTGATATTATTAGCCCTCTGAGGATGTTTTTTAGGGATGAGCTCGGCTTCAGTTCCCCTACCTCACCCTCAACGCGGAGACATCGCTGCCTTTTACTCCCGTGGTTATTATAACTGGGCTCTTGGAGGCCCTCAGGGCCTGCCTGCTTTTTTCTCTACTTCTTACTTCTTTGGTTTTGGCTCCTTGAGATTTTTCTTACTTATTTTCAATGTTATCTATGCTTCCTGATACATGCTATTACATTTAATGCAGGTCTTCTAGGTATTTTGCAGTGGGGAGACTTTAAGGGTAATTATTCCACAGTATTTGATCTCACAAATATTATTCAATAAATATTTAGTCAACTATTTCATTCAATATTTACAATAGCTATTTATTCACTTATATTTATTATAAATGTTGAAATAAATATCCATTGACTGCCTACCATGTATCAGACTTAAAACAAAACAAAACTAGAGCTCAGGAGAATCACCACCGGGGGTAAGTATCTTACATCAAAAAAGTAAAATGGAATGTTCCTGGGAGTCCGGCATCTCTCAAAGCAGCCCCTGCGAGGGATCCGAGTCGCACATAGGTCAGCACCGTCCTGTGGCCGTATCAGTCCAGTGAGGGCTTTCCCGCCCCTCGACATCCCCACCCAACCCGCTGCCCCAACCACACCAGGGGCTAGAACCACTTGAATGAGAGAGACCAAGGGGGCAGCTTTAGGGTTGGGGAAGGGAAAGAAGTGCCCACCCTCACTCTAGGAGGGGGAGGGGCCATCTGTAACTTTTTTTAAAGTTAGAAGCTTTGGCTGCTCCCCAGACTGGATATTTTAACTTGTGAACCGAGGCTGTGTTTAAGAACCTAAAACAGAGTGTTTGTTTGTTTGTTTGTTTTTTATTAACCTGGTGAGTTTGTCAGCGCTCTCCAGAGAGACAGAACCAACAGGGTATGTATATACTGTCACGTGTCACCTAACGACAGGGCTACACTCTGAGAAATACGTCATTAAAAGATTTCCACAATGTGCAAAGGTTTCATGGAATGTGCTTACACAAGCACACCCAGGATGTACCTGGATGGTACAGCTTGCTGCACACCCAGGCCAGATAGTACAGCCTTTTGCTCCTGCACAGCAAGTTAGTGTACTGAATACTGTCCAGGGGGTGTCGAACTCATTGTCACCGGGGGTCACATCAGCCTCGTGTTGCCTTCAGAGGGCCAAATGTAATTTTAGGACTGTATAAATGTAGCTACTACTTAACAGTTAACCAAGAGCTTGGTGCTGCTGCCCGGTAAAACAAGGTAGAGGGCAGGATTCGGCTTGGGGGCCTTGTGTTTGCCACCCGTTCTGCAGACAATTATAACACAGTGGTAAGTATTGTGTGTGTAAACATACCTAACACAGAAAAGGGACATTAAAATACAGTATAAAAGATAAAGTGTATAGATGCATATGCATTGTAGGCGCAAAAGCAAGGCTGGGGGAGAAGTGCCAGTTGGAGAGAGCAAAGAGGTCCGGAGGAGGGAGGGCAACATGGAGGGAAGGAGAGTGAGTGTGTGCTCATGAGTGTGCATAGGTGTACAAGTGTACAGGTGCATATGCAAGTGTACAGGTGGGTGCACAGTGGATGGATGGCATGCTTTATTTAAAAACCACCCAGAACCAGCAGTAAATTCCACATTGTAGTGAGGTACAGACTTTTCTTTCAGCACTGAGAACAAATCTTTTGCTTATAATTCATTATAATCTTTTAAAATCTATTTTATTGATTATGCTATTACAGTTGTCCAGTTTTTCCCCCTTTATTCCCCTCAGCTCCACAATCCCCTCCCACTAGCATTCCCTCACCTTAGTTCATGTCCATGGATCGTACATACAAGTTCTTTGGCTTCTCCATTTCCCATGCTATTAACCTCCCCCTGTCTATTTTGTAACTATCATTTATGCTTCTTATTTCCTATACCTTTTCCTTCATTCTCCCCCACCCCCTCCTTGCTGATAACCCCCCATGTGATCTTCATTTCTGTGATTCTGTTCTTGTTCTAGTTGTTTGCTTAATTTTTGTTTTTATTCTTGCTTTTTTTAGGTTCAGTTGTTGATAGTTGTGAGTTTGCTGTCATTTTACTTTTCATAGTCTGATCTTCTTTTTCTTAGATAAGTCCCTTTAACAGTTCAAAAAACAGGGCTTGGTGATGATGAACTCCTTTAACTTGATCTTATCTGGGAAGCACTTTATTTGCCCTCCCATTCTAAACAATAGCTTTGCTAGATAATCTTTGCCTTTCGTGACTTGGAATACTTCTTTCTAGCCTCTTCTTGCCTGCGAAGTTTCTTTCGAGAAATCAGCTGATAGTCTTATGGGAACTCCTTTGTAGGTGATTGTCTCCTTTTCTCTTGTTGCTTTTAAGCTTCTCTCCTTCTCTTTAATCTTGGATAATGTGATTATGATGCACCTTGGTGTGTTCCTCCTTGGGTGCAACTTCTTTGGGTCTCTCTGAGCTTCCCAGACTTCTTGGAAGTGTATTTCTTTTGCCAGATTGGAGGAGTTATTCTTCATTATTTGTTCAAATAAGTTTTCAATTTCGTGTTCTTCCTCTTCTCCGTTGGAACATTTAAAATTGTCCTGGAGGTTCCTAAGCCTCTCCTCATTTTTTTGAATTCTTGTTCCTCATTTTGTTCTGGTTGAATGTTTATTTCTTCCTTCTGTTCCACATTGTTGATTTGAGTCCTGGTTTCCTTCCTGTCACTGTTGGTTTCCTGTATATTTCTCTTCATTTCACTTTGCATAGCCTTCACTTTTTCCTCCATTTTGTGACCATATTCAACCAATTCTCTGAGCTTCCTGATTACCAGTGTTTTGAACTCTGCATCTGATAGGTCGGCTCATCTCTTCATGCTTAGTTCTGTCTTTGGAGCTTTGATCTGTTCTTTCATTAGGGATATATATATATATATATATATATATATATATATATATATATATATATTTGTCTCAGCTAACCTGTTATGTTGTAAGGGGCAGAGCCTTAGGTATTCACCAGGGTGGGGCAACCCACATGGCTGCACTGTGGCACTGCATGTGGGGGATGGGTCTGAGCAGGGGAAGTGGATTTTAATCACTTCTCCCGCTACCCACAAGCAAATCAGGCCCTTCAAGTGCTGATTTCTGGGTGGGTGGGTTTGTATACGTTCTAGGACCCTGTGGGTCTCTCCAAGAAACTCCTGTGAGGCTGGGATTTTCTCCTGCTGTTGCAAGCCACTCAAATTTTTACAGCTGGAGGTTTAGGCTTTATTTCCCTGCATCAGAACCCTGGGTTGCATGGTCTGTCTTGCTTCCCAGTTGTTCCTTCTGGTTTATCCGCACACAAATGTGGGACCACCTGGTCTGCCAGCCACTGCCTGGCCTACTCCAGTCCTCCAGCTGATGCCTTGCCACTCATCCTCTATGCCCAGGCTGCCCGACTCCACCTCTCCTACCAGTCTGAATGAATGTTTCTTCTTTAACTCCTTGGTTGTTAGACTTCCATATAGTTTGATTTTTCTGGCAGTTCTGGTTATTTTTTGTTTTTAAATTTGTTGTCCTTCTTTTGGTTGTATGAGGAGGCAAAGTGTCTCTACCTACGCTTTCATCTTGGCTGGAAGTCCCTATAATCTATTACAATCTAATGAGATTACTGTTGTACATGCAGTCCATCATCAACCAAAACATTATGTGGCGTATGACTGTATATATGTGTATATGTAATACGTGTATGTATATATTTATGTGTGTATGTGTGTGTGTATATATGTACATATATATCTATACACACACATGTGAGAGAGAGAGGCATTTCTCATAAATGCAATTGGCTCATGCAATCTTGGAAGCTGGCAAGTCTAAAATCTGTGAACTGGGCCGGCAAGCAGGAGATCCAGGTGAACTGAAGTCCAGTTTCTGACCGAAGGCCATCTGCTGCAGAACCGGGAAGAGCTGATGTTGCAGGTGGAGTCCAAAAGCCGTCTGCTGCAGAATTTCCTCTTGCTCAGGGGAGGCTGACCTTTTTGTTCTATTTAGCCCTTCAGCTGATTGGATGAGGCTCAATCACATTATGAAGGCACTCTGCTTTAATCAAAGTCCACCAATTTAAATGTTACTCTCACCCCAAAACACTCTAACAGAAAGACTCAGAATAGTGTTTGACCAAATATCTGGGTATCCCATGGCCCAGCCAAACTGACACATGAAATGAACCACCACACCTGGGGAGAACTGGATCCAAGTTTTCACCCAGGGACAGAAGTAGAGCTTCCTCCGCTGCATTTTAAAAAGCTATTGGGAGACAAAATAAATTTTTGTGATTGTACTTGTCAAACAAAAAGAGTCTGGAGGCTTTGGCTAGAAATAAATGAAAGATTTACTCAAGGAATTTAGGGTTTGAAAACTACAAACACTAGCTGACACCCCAAATGTTCTTAAGAAGAAAGGGGGCTTTCCAGTAGTGACAACCTCCCTACAACACGCCTCTTCATGGATATGGAGTGCCCCGGATGCTGTAAAATCAGCACCACCTTTAGCTGTGCACAAATGACAGTTTGGTGTGTGGGCTGCCGCCCTGTGCTCCGTCAGCCCACAGGAGGAAAAGCAAGGCTTCCGGAAGGATGCACCTTCCGAAGGAAGCAGCACTGGAAGCACCTGGATCCAGATGAGAGGGAAAACATACCAATAAACACATTTCAGATTAAGAAAGAAAGAAAGAAAGGAAGAAAGGAAGGAAGGAAGGAAGGAAGGAAGGAAGGAAGGAAGGAAGGAAGGAAGGAAGGAAGAAAAGAAAAAAAAAAGGAAAGCTGGGAATTCTTATAGTAAAAAAAAAAAAAAGTACATTCTTGAGAAGGATCAGTCCTGCATTCTTAGCCTCTGGATCTTCCGAGATGGTAATCCTCCAGATGACCAGTCAGTGGCCTGGGTAGTGGATGTGAGGTGGTCTGGGTATGTGAGCATTCTTTCCCTAGTCCTTTGGGGATAATCAGAGGGTTATCTGGAGGTCTGATGTATTTCCAGGCATTGATGCAGGACTAGAGAGTCTAAGAGTTCCCCAGAATAGTTTAAACAAGAAGAGAATTATTTCCTCATTCCTCAACTTACTTGATTTTAGTAATTTGGCATCTTGACTTTAGTGACTACATTTAATTTCTTCACTCTATTCTTTATACTGGAGGTGTGTATTGCGCAATGTATAGCTGTTATTTGTGTTTTTGTCAGGAAATGGAGAGGGAAAGCTGTTCCAATAGGAGCCCATTTCTTTGGTGGCAGTAGAGTTACCCTTTGAGCAAAGATTGCTCTTTTATTGGGAAAGGCATTTCACAAGGCCTTCTGTTATTGATGATAAAGCAAAAACCCTCTTCTGGAAGGAAGGAACCTTGGCCCCAGAGGCACCGCACGTTAATTGCTGTGTTCTGAGAGAGCAGTGAAAAGGCATCTTTGAAGAGACTGCAGGCTGTTTCTTGGTTTACTTGCTCTGGCTGTGGCACAGTCTAGGAAATGAGGATTCCCAGATGTTGGGGAGAGAACAAGGGACTCCGTGTCAGGGCTTCCTACTAAAGTGAGAGGCAAAGGCTGAAGAGAGAAGCAGCCAGGAGGTGCCCCCAGGGCAGGGGCATGGTCAGTGCAGAGATAGCAGCTGACTGGGTTTCACTTTTCCTTTCACTACCTCAGACTTTCAGCAAAATTGTGTAAGAGCTTCAGTCTGGACTCAGGTTACTTGAAGGAATTCAGGGAGAAGATGTAAGGAGGTCCGAGGACCTCCGGCAGGGCAGCCCAGAGCAGCAAGCAGGTCAGAGGCAACTGGTGAATGGGGTGGGTGGACAAGCAATTCTTCTATTAATAATCACTCTGGGACAGCGGGTGTCCACTGTAGGTGTGCAACTTTAGCTGTCGTGGGGGGGTTGGGGTGCTGTCGGGGCCAATTCCGAGGGGTGGTGTCTGGTGTCCAGCAGCACTGAAGAGCACCAGACTTTGGAGAAGTGGCACAGCATGGAGGTTAGGTGGGTTCTCTGGAGCCAGGCCGCCTGGTTTGAGTCCTGACTCTGCTTCCCATGGCCACAGGCAGGTTAATCAATCTCCGTGACCTCAATTTGCTCATCTGTGAAAGTGAGGCCGTTTGAGAATTAAGTGAATGGATATTAGAAAATGTTGAGAGTAGAACCTGGAATGTAAATGTCTATTAAGAAAATCAGTGGTACCAAGTAAGGATAGGTTTGGGAAGCATGGCCAGTGAGTTTGAGAGGGTGGATCGGAGAAAATTCCTAGTTCCCAGATGAAGTGTTTGCAGGAATGCCAACCCTGTCAGGGGTCCTGGCTTTGCTCCTGCCTGCTGAGAGAAGAGGGAGCAAAATAAACCAAAGGCTATTTAGATTTTTCTCAGTCTTTTCTTCCCCTTGCTGGAGTTATCAGGCCAAGCTGAGGTCATTTCATTTTTGTTTTTCTCTAATCTGCTTCCAGCCCAGGGGCAGGAGCATAGAGACCTAAAAATACCCTGAGCTGCCAGGTTAGATCACTTCAGCCTCCGGCCAGCATTCCGCCTGTCCCTGCGCCCAGCACTCTGCCAGGGGGCTGTGTTCACTAGCAGCTCCTGGGCACCCCATCCTCCCTTTGAGACTGACAGTGGAATTAGGAAGGATAGAGCCTAAAATATGGGGCTCAGGGCAGACAGTAGACAGGGTGAGGCCCAGCTGACAGCCTCAGAATGCCCAGTGTTCCCCTTTGTACAGATGGAAGCACTAAGTCCAGAAAGCGGAGGCGTTGGTGGCTTTCTGAGCTGAAATGCCTGCCTTTCTTCCTCCTTCCCGACCCTATTCAAAGTTCTTATCTTGAAGAAAAAATTCCAACAATCCAGAGGAGAAAAAGCCCCGGGCTGGGAGTCCAAAGTCCTGACTCTCTCTAGTCAGGACCTACGAGGAGTAGTGGGCCAGTCACTCCCCTCTGGGCCTCGGTCCCTTCATCTGTAAAACTGAGGGATGGGGCCAGAGGGCTTCTGTAAAGATGTGAGGGAGAGTGGCCAGGAAGCTCCGGGTGGACTGAGTGCCCCTGAGAACCAGCCCTACTCCACCTAAAACTCTTGCTTTCATCTGTTTTCTGCTCTAGGTTTTGTCTGAGAGTTCTGTTACTAAAATAGGAAGAGAGGTTTCAAGGGTGTGAAGGTTCCTTCTGGTCCCCATGGTCTGTGATAAGCTTCAGCTGCTATTACACCCCGAGTTACAGTGTACCGTCGTCTGCCCTAACAGCTTGCTGTTCCCCCCAGCATGTCTCACACCCAGGCTTGTGCACGTGATCCCAGCGCTTCTCCACTTTCTCCACCCGCTCGCCTAGCAAACTTCTGCTCGTCCTTTAAGTCACAGCTCAGATGCCATCCTCTTCTTAAAGCCTCCCAGACCTTCCTCAGACCTGCTTAAAGGCCTCCTTAGGGCTGCCACACTTTCCAAACTACCTCCTAAATGGCACTTAGCCCCTCTGTAACTGCCTTTATACTGTCTACCATCAGAGAATATTCTAATTTAAACCCGAGGTCTGCCACTTCCTGGGTGTATGATGCCGGCAAGTGACTTAGCTCTCTGAGCTTCGGTTTCCACATCTCTGAAATAGTATCAGCAAACACGGAACGGTTGCTCTGTGCCAGGCCCTGTCCTGTGTATTCGCTCATTTAATCCATATAACATTTCCGTGAGATTGGTACAAAAACCCTTTTTTACTTTATTTTATTTTATTTTATTTTTAAAAATGAGAAAACTGAGGCACAGGGAAATTAAATAGTTTGCCCAAGGTCACGCGGCTTGTAAGTAGCAAGGCCAATATTCAACCCATACAGTCCAACAGCAGAGATTCTACTGCCTCTCTGAAGCCGTGTACCTCAGACGGTGCAGTGAAGGAGATATGAGTAAAATGCATGTAAAGTTGCTTGACACATACAGGGAGGGGCAAAAATAGGTTTATAGTTGTTTATATGAAAAATAATATAATAATTAATATATGTAATTAGAAGAAACTGTATTTCACGTACTCACAATTGTAAACCTACTTTTGCCCCACATATACTAAGTACTCAATAAATGAGTACTGAGTACAGGAAACATTACCTGTTTCCCAGTGTCCCCTTCTTTGTCACTCAGTGCTTGAGGATTTAAATCTAGATATTTAAAATAGAAACAAAGTATATTTTTATAGCTCTTTTTCTCACTGTGCTGTACCATTTACTATGAGGTCTGTTCAGAAAAAAGTACAGCCATTAATATAATGGGAATGGTTGACGCAACATCAGTGTAACCTGGCAGTCAAGGAGAGTGGACTGGAATCTGTCTGTGTGAACAATGATGACTTCACTGTGCTAGTTAGTGAGGGTGGTAGACACTGTCGAGTGAGCACATGTACTGTGTGGCTGTCACATTCAAAATGACCGAGCGAGTAGAGCAATGAATCTACATCAAATTTTGCATTAACATTGAACATTCCTCCGCAGAAACTATTCACATGATTCAGAAGGCTGCTCCTATGGGCCACTGGTGATTGGCAGCTTCATCATGGCAATGGGCCCACTTGTGCCTCAGGTCTTGTGAAGAGTTTTTTGGCAAAACATCAAATTACCCAGATGACTCAGCCCCTTTACAGCCCAGATTTGGCATCCTGTGACTTCCGGCTTTTCCCAAAACTATAAGCACCTTTGAAAGGGAAGAGACTTTAGACCATTGATGAGATTCAGGAAAATACAATAGGGGAATTGATGACAATTGGGAGAACTGTGTGAGGTCTCAAGGTACCTACCTTGAAGGGGATAGAGGCATCATTGTCCTATGTAAAAACTTTCTTGTACCTTGTATCTACTTCAATAAATGTCTCTATTTTTCATATTACAGGGCTAGATACATTCTGGACAGACCATGTATATCATAGGATCATTGCATGTCAAAGCTGGATAGGACATATGCAATAATTATAATAATCATAATAATGAGGACTTAAGATGAATACTTATTATGTGTCATTGTGCTAATGCAGTCTTAAAATAGATTTTATTTTTATAAAGCAGTTATGGGTTTCATAGTACAACTGAGTGAATGTTACAGAAATTTCCCATATACGTTCTACCCCTGCCCCCACCCAAGCCAACCCCACTATCAACATTCTCCACCAGAGTCGAACGTTTGTTATAATTGATAAGCCTACACTGACACATCATTATTACCCAAAGTCCATAGTTCACATTAAGGTTCACTCCTGGAGTTGTACAAACTGTGGGTTTTGACAAATGTATAATGACATGGATCTACCATTATAGTACAGTATATTTTCATTGCCCTAAAATCCTCTGTGCTCCGCAAATTCGTCTCTTCCTGCCCTTAACTCCCAGCAACCACTGATCTTTTACCATCTCTATAGTTTTGCCTTTTTCAGGAAGTCATATGAAATAGTTGAAATCATACAATTATATAGCCTTTTCAGATTGGCTTCTTTCACATAATAATAGGCATTTAAAGTTCCTCTATATCTTTTCATGGCTTGATAGCTCATTTCTTTTTAGCCTTGAAAAATATTCCATTGTCTAGATGTACCACCCCCAAAAGGATACAACACATAAGATCCTGGATGGAGATGCATTACTTGAATTTAATCACGAGGAAACATCAGACAAGTGTACCTTTTAAAAATTATATTTTATTCATTATGCTATTATAGTTGTCCCAATTTTCTCCCCTTTCCACCCCTCCACCCAGCGATCCTCACAGCTCCCTGACTCCCTCAGGCAATACCCACACCACTGTTCACGTCCATGGGTCATATATATATGTTCTTTGGCTCCTCCATTTCCTGTACTGTACTTTACCTCCCCATGGCTATTCTGTAACTACCTATTTGTACTTCTCAATCCTCTCACCCCTTCACCCATTCTCCCCCACCCCGTCCCATCTGACAACTATCAAAAAGTTCTCCTTATCTATGATTCGGCCCCTGTTCTTGTTTGCTTAGTTTGTGTTTCAGATTCAATTGCGGATAGATATGTATTTATTGCCATTTTATTATTCATAGTTATGATCTTGTTTTCCTTAAACAAGTTCCTTTAACATTTTATATACCAATGGTTTGGTGATGATGAACTTTAGTTTTTTCTTGTTTGGGAAGCTTTTTATCTGCCCATTGATTCAAAATGATATCTTTGGAGCAGAACCATAGAAATGAAGATCACATGGAGGGTTAGCAACAGGGGAGTGGGAGGAGGAGAAGGGGGGAGAAGGTACAGAAAATAAGTAGCATAGATGATAGGTAGAAAATAGATAGGGG